GATTCGTAGAAACATTGTAGATTAGAGTCTAGTTTGGCTCAAAAGGTGGAGTTGAGGCTTAAATCATGCATGCATGTGCATTTCTTCACATTTTGAACATGATTTCAAGAGTTTCTTCCATGCGTGTGTTAATTTTACTCACATTGTGGTCATTCAACTTATTTTTCATCAAATTATTAAGTTTGGTTATGTTTTGGAAGGTTTGAACTCAAGGGGGGTCCTTGCATGTTGGATTCATAGCATATTCATGGAGTTCGTGTTGATTTTGTACAAATTGGGTTGCTCTTGGGCCATGATTTCTTGAATTGAAGCTTTAAACATGTTGTTTTATGGGTTACTAAGTGTTTTCCAAAGTTTTGGCCCAGAAAAATGAGTTTTGGTTGGTTGAAGGTTGAGTTTCATGCTTGGAGGTCAATCTGGATTTTCCAGAATTTTGACCCACGCTCGAGCGGGGACTTTCACGCTCCAGCGTGAAGCCTGAGTACATGCACTTCTGCTCGAGCGGCGAGAGTCACGTTTGAGCGTGAAATGCGTGTACCCAGAAGTTTGTGTGTTTTGCAGTTCGCTCGAGCGGGGAAAGCCACGCTCGAGCGAGGGTCTGTGTCACACACTCGAGCAGGGGTCAAGCGCCCGTCGAGCGTGAATATCATGCATCCAGTACTTTCGTCGATTTTACAGTCCGCTCGAGCGAGGAAGTTTACGCTCGAGCGGAGCTCCTTTATCTGCATGTCCGCTCGAGCAGGGAAACCCACGCTCGAGCGTAGACCTTATTTCAGCAAATTTTGTGAAATGTTTTCCAAAGGCATTTTTGCATCCTCATTCCATCCTAGGCATTCCTAGGCCATGTTTAAGATCCCATAATGAGGTTAAGAGATTAGAAACACACTAAGAGCTAATGAAATAAGTTTTGTGCAATTAGAACATGTGTTTCAAGTGTGCATTGGTTATGTGTTGTGTAGGTCACGTGCCACGTACCGTTTGACCAAGCTTACTCCGTCTGTCTGTCTCAAGGCCCACTGTGAGTAATAACTTTGTAAAGTTATGCTCAATTATAAGTATTTTTTGAATGATATAAGATGATCTGTTTTATGAGATAATATTTTATGTATGAATGAATGGTTGTTCAATGTTTCTGAAATGTATTCGTGACATTCTTAGCCTCAAATGATAATTGTTATCTGTTTTGTTACGTCCCTTTATGGGGTCAACTGTACGTCTTATGAGCCAACTGTTATGGATCCTTACGTCCCTTTATGGGTCAACTGTATGTTTCATGAGCCAACTGTTATGGATCCTTACGTCCCTTTATGGGTCAACTGTACGTCTCATGAGCCAACTGTTATGGATCCTTACGTCCCTTTATGGGTCAACTGTACGTCTCATGAGCCAACTGTATCGTCTCCGTGCATGTGAGTCAACTGTATGTCTTTATGGCTGTCCCTTATGGGTCAACTATTTCTACTAGTGCTAAGAATGTATCACGTAAACTTAAACAAGGCTTATGATTTCTGTCTGTATATGATCTAGACAAGTTATGATTTTGATACGAAACTGAATTACGAATTCTGAATCTGTATAGACTCATTCATAAAACCCCTTTACTCTGTTATTGTTCACTGGGCTTTTGCTCACTGTTTATATTATGTATGTAGGTGAGCCAGCGTGTGACTAGGGTCGGAGTTAACGGCCTTCTGTATTGTTTTGTCAGCCAACCGGTGTGCCTCCCGAGGAGGTTCTGATCGAAGTCTAATGCCATGGCTGTTTTTGTTTTCATGCTAGTCTTTGTAACAGTTTGTAGAGTCAGATCTTGGGAAGTCAACTTCTGTAATTATTTTGTAAATATTGGTGTCCTTGACTGGCATGCTTTTATATATATAAATAAGTTTTGATATGTTCTGTCCCATGTACGTTATCACAGTTCATTGGACCTTGTCTATTTTGTATTTTTGCTTCCGCAGCCCCTTATTATTTGCTAATCTGTACAGAGACCTTTGGTAATCCACGGATTACTGGCCGGTTACGGTGCTAAACCTACAGGGGCAGGTTTGGGCCGTGACAAAAATTTAATTAGAATTTTTAGAAAATTTGTGATTTATTTGCTTAATAGAGAAATTTTGAGAAAAATAAAGAGTTAATGACCAAATTGCGAAATTGTAAACTTGGAATATGTTTGTGAGGTTATGAAAGAGCTATGTTTTAAATTTGAACAAAAACGGACCTTGGCTCGATTGGTTTTGAAATTTTTACCAGTTTATGACCAAAAGAGCATTTTTAAAGAAAACAAAGGAACTACATTTAATTTTGGGAGTTTTTGATCAAAATAGGATGTCATAGTTGAATAATGCTTGGAGAATGAGTTTGAAAAGAAAATGATGTTTTCTTGGATATTAACGGTATTATTTTGCTTAATGTATCTGTTGGAATAAAACCGACACGATTAGAAATGGACCTTGAGAGGTTACCAGATGTGATTGTGATCTGAAAACTAGTGTAGTTGTTCATATTTGATGAGATGTGGAATAGATTGTATTTATCAAAATTTTTGAAATTTAATTGTCTAAATATCAGTTTAGAAATATCTGTTTTGGGCTATCGGTGGAGGATAGCTATGATTGTTGTAGAAATGCATGAGACTTAGGTTAATCGAACCACATTTCTCATTTGTTGCATTGGACATTGCATTACATTCATTTCATTGGAAATGTATCTGTTTTTTAGAAATGTTTGGAAATGTATCTATTTTCGAAAAGATGAATACTTGATGAATCTGGGCAAGGGGTGTGGAACCGCGTGGTTAGGTGTCGAGCCTTCCGAGTTACTAGTAAAAATGACAGTGGTAATTCATTAGGGCCTACTTGCAGATACTCACCTAGAGATTCACAAGGCCCGTATTCATGTAACAGATATGGTTTAAAATGGAAATGATTTTATATTTGTTGTGCATCTCAACATTGCATGCTTTATAAAAAGAGAGATAAACTGTTTTATCATGAGCATGGCATGCACATACTCCTCTTTAGTCTTGTCATTGTTCATATGTTGTGTAGTATATCTCTACTGGGTTGTGGCTCATCCTATAAAGGAAATCATTTCAGGTACAGGTGCTATATCTCCGCCAAGGCATTGACTTAGGAGGACTCGGAGCTAAGGCTTTATTTTTGTTTTATTGTTATTTGTTGAATGTAAGCCTAGGGTTGTATTTGTGTTGAGTTGAAACTCCATTTTTTGTAACTAAGAATGTTCTTGGATAAATTTGTAAGTTGAAACTCCATTATCTGTTTGGCTTCCATTTCATACTTGTTGTAAAATGCATATTTGAGATTAGAATTGGGGCATTAAGATGTGAACAGCATGTATTTGGCATTTGGGATTTAATGGAAATGGATGTATGGATTAGTTGGCTATATATATTTGTTTGTCCATCATGTGGGTTTTGTTGCATAAATAGATATATCATGCCCAATTTTCCAGGTGTAATAGTTAAAATAGCCCCAACCTCATCCAAACCTTTATCCCAAACGGCTACATTGTTTACTGATCTCCCGCCAAGAACATCCACATCAATCTCGTCAAAACTTATTTCTAGACTAAAATATAGAGCAAATGTAGGAAAATCTGCCTCCAATAACCTCGCTACATATTTTCAAAATTTGCGATTGCTATAATACATTGCTTGTTTACAATTTATACATTATTTTATTATTTTTTCATCAAGTGGTCGACCACCCAGTCGACTACCCAAAAGTAAAACTGACAATTTTCACCAAGTGGTGGATCAAAACTACTTCTTCTTATTTATTTATTTATTTTTTGAATAAAGCTTGGGAGCTCGAAACCCCTCCTCTCCGAATCCCCTGAAATTCAGGAAGGAGAGAGAGAGAGAGAGAGAAGAGAAGGGAAGAGGGCTCGCAGTTGCTGCCTGATCGTCGCCCGGCGTCCTCGCAACAGCTCATCGTAGCGTCACCCGGCGTCGCCTCGCCCGATCGTCGTCTCCGGCAGCCCCTGCCTCTACCTCGCCTCCGCCTCCTCCTCCCCTTGTAATTAGGGCCCCCTCCAGTCCTCCTCCCTCCTCCTCCTCCTCCTCCTTCCTTCCTTCTCTTCTCCTTCTTCTTTCTTCATCTTCTTCGTTTCTGATTGAACCAGAAAAAAAAAAAAAAAAATGCAAAAACGACATCGTTTCTGGAATTAGGAGAATTCGGAGAGGTCAGATTTGAGCTCTCTAGCACGTCTTTTTTGGAGGACAATACAAATTTTAAATACTTTTTTTGTTCTTTTGTCTAGCCGGACAACTAAATACTTTTTTTGTTCTTTTGTCTAGCCGGACAACTGTGGTTGGCTATTAAATATATTTTTTTAAAAGAATATGACAGCAGGACAATACAAATTTTAAATACTTTTTTTTTTTCTTTTGTCTAGCCAAACAACCGCGGTTGGCTATTAAATATATTTTTTAAAAAGAATATGACAGCACATATGTAGATAAACAATACAAAATTAACAAAATCTAGTTTCCACCCGATTGACCGTCTAATATCTCCTAAAGTTGACAATTTTCATCAACTGATCGACCACTCAGTAAATAATAAAGAATAAATTATAAATACACCTCTTAAGATTTATTTAAATTACATTTAAAAATTACATTATGTCCCTAAGACTTCTAATTTTATAACAAATATATTATTTTATTAACAAATCATCAAGTTAATTAATAGTTTTTAATAATATTAAAATTTTATTTTAATTAATAATTCATATAATTTTATTATTGTATAAGTGAATAATTAGAAATTTTACTTTTTTAATTAATTTTATTAAATAAAAAATTTTGACAAAAAGACATTTATAATTTTTTAAATCATAAGAGATAATTTATATTTTAAACAAATCTTAAAAAATATATTTATAATTTATCTAATAATAAGAGTAAAAAAATTTAGTTATAATTTTACTTAAGACTGATACGGAAGGTTTCGGAATCGATTTTGGGTTTTAATCGTCAACCTAGAGATGCCTTCCCAGTGTACACACACCTTTTCGTGAAAAATTATTTGGTGCTTTTAGGGCGCCATGTGGCAATGTCCCTCGTCAATCACAATCCACCATCCACCATGCTCCTCTTCTCAGTCATCCTACACACAAAATTAAGCACCACCAACTCCGTCAATCACAATACCATGGTCACCACCTGGCGGTGTCCAGACCAACCAATAACTTCTCCCTTTTCTCTCTAGTTTCTCAGCAACCAAACTGAAAGAAAATCAAATTTGACTCAAAATGTAGACTGACAGAACACACTACAAATCGAAGAACTGACAGCTTCGATTCCGCAATTACGGTTTGCCATTCTTTTCTCAAACTCTCCAATGTATATATAGGAAAATGCTAAAAACATATGTATATATATGCTGTCTACACTTTGTCGCTTGACCCTTACATATTGGTGGCACCCTGTTATATTTATTGCTAATGACCCTCACTTTCGTAGCTCTGCATTGCCATCAAATGTTTACTATCATTTGCACAATTGATATTTGTAAGAATATCATGGCATAAATTTGTGGTCCATTTAACTTGAATTCGAGCCTCATGATGAAAGGCCTGTGATTTTGAATAGTGGACTCGCTGACTTACTTTGTTTTCATTTTCATTTCATTGAAATTTTTGTGACATTGATAACAATTACTGACAGATAATTTTATGCAGTGTTAAAACTTTCAAATGGTTTCCCCCATATAATTGGTGACACAATGTTTTTTTCATTTCTATCATTGTTCAATCAAAGCATAAAATGATGTGAATTGGAGCAAATGGCCAGCCTCTGCCATGGCTATTCAAACTATACTTCTTTTCAAAATCCCAATGTAATCAAATTCGTACTTATATCGATGGCATATTGGGTTATTGTTCAATAAATCACTTTGAATATGTATTTATATTTGGATGGAATGGAAACTAGTGTGACTTGTCAAGATGTTTTTTAGGCTATAGAAAGCATAACCACTTGTTCATATCTGATGGAAGTGACATCGGTATACCACTAATTTCAAACTGAAATATTACTTAGTTTGGTGTGTAGTTATGATAAATTCTTTATTCTCGTTATCTTTTATTGTCGTTTTAGTTTTATGTAATTCTAAAGCCCCAAATAATTGCAATCAAGCCTTTGTTCAGGTGACTTGAGCTATGATTTATTATGTTTTAGTAACCTGGGTTAATTTCTATGAGGATTGTTTGAGGGTGGAATTTTTTCTCTCTCTTGAATTCAAATGATACTTGGGGGATCTTCTGCTCTAGAAATTTCATTTTTTGAACTAGTAGAACACCGTCCTTGAATTTTCTGGAAGAGCTGCCTTGACAAGCTTGTCTAAATTTTATTTTGGCCCACTTTACAGGACTAAAGATCTGAAACCGTGCCAAAACCAATCACAATGCCAAACTTTTGGCCATGGAATAGTCTCTATGTAAAGTTTGGGTACTGGAAATGTTTGTGCTGAGTGAAACATTACTTAATAAGTCATTGTTCTATATTTTAGTTATTGATGCAGTCACGTTATACATTAGGCCCATCAGAAAATCTAGGTGCTTCTCATATCATGATTTGGTGGTTAATTTACTTACAGAAGATCCATGGGATTTACTGTATCTTATTATAGAGGAGAGGGATTTGATATTTGAAACCAAATAATAAATAAACAGAAAATTTAAGACTTTGAGCTCGGTGCTTTTAAGAAACAAAATGAAGTCCACAAAGCTTCTGAAGTTGAATCATCAATTTCTAAAATCATATTAACAGCTGCGATGAATACTCTATCTAGCATCCGGTATTGTTATGGTTACTTCACCATTCGTATAAAATTCTTCAATTCTTGATGCAGTATCTGTATCAATGGAACTTCTTTTGACGAAGAAACCAGGTTGTTTAGGCTGAGGCAATATTGCTTCCTCGTTTCCCAACATGAACACTACAAATGACATTGCCGGCCTGTCTTGTGGGAGTTTCTGAACACATAATAGGCCCACTTGAATACATCTCTGTACTTGAGATTCAACACATGAATCCTTCAAACATGCATCCATTAGTTCCATCCCTGTCTTCATCCCACAGCAAACATGCCTAAAGTAATTGCAAACCATGCACCTAGTTTATTTATTTTCTTCGCAGAGCATATAGTTTGTCGTCCTCAAGAAACAGTACCTATGCATCAAGTTAGAAAGCCACGGGGATAGACAGATATACACAGATATATATATAGAGAGAGATAACTATTCTAGTACTTACATGCCCTAGAAGATTGTGGTGGTGATTAGGATGATGAAAACCTCTGTTCCTTTTGCCACTCACTATTTCTAGCAAAAGCACACCCAAACTGAATACATCAGATTTCACAGAGAATTTCCCGTCAATTGCATACTCTGGAGACATATAGTCATTGCAAGAATTTGCAACCATAAAGTCTTCTGAATGATGGAAAATTTTGATTTAATTTTAAGTAAATAGAACTTACTATGTTCCAATGACTCTTTTTGTTTTTGCACAAATTTGTACTCCTTCGAAAATTCTTACTAAGCCGAAATCTGAAATTTTTGGAATCAGATCATTAAAAGTCAAAAAGCCAACCCACTTTCCAAACGGAAGCAAAGTACCACGTAGTTGCGCTCCTGAAGTACTTAATAATCGAAAAAATTATTAGTTGGTCTTGGGGCGCCATGTGGCCATGCGCCACATCATTCATAATTCACCATACATCTTCATATTTCACAATCAGCTAACACAAATTCATAAATCCCACCCCCCTCTACCAATCACAATACCATTGAGACATGATGTGGCGATGCCCAAGACCAACCAATATTTTTTCTTGATAATCACTCCAATCATATCACTTATATATCATTAAGTCTATAAAAATAGGTCTAAAAGATGAGAAAGATTCCCCTCTATATTCCATTTTGTATATCATTCTCTTTTATAAAATTAATATTACCGAATATTTTTGTTATTTTGTTCCGATAAATATACTAGTAAAAATAGAGTAGAGAGAGAAATTGGAGACGTGGCGTAAAATTTCAAAAATATTAGAAATTTTAAAATTTTACTTACATGAAATATTTAATAGAAATTTTAAAATTTTACTTACATAAAATATTTAATAGAACTCTTAACAAAAATGTTAGAGACTTTAAATATTTTATTAAAAATTTTACCAAATGTCTCACACGGGTGTGAGACCCACATAAAACTCACATTATGTGAATCACACACTCGTACACGACATTTAATAAAATTTTTAATAAAATATTTGTGATTTCTGACATTACTCAACTCTTAAACCTCGCATTAGTCTAAAATTTTAATGTGTCGGCGGGAAAATAAAACGAGAGGGATTCGAGGCGTTAAAAACCCGCTAAATTATCTATCTACCCGTTGGGGTTGCTGTACAATGAAGCTAAAGCAATGCCCCAACCATATTTTCTCAGACAAGAAAATGAGAAAGAAACCAAAAGAAAATCTAAATCCCCCAACTAAAAAGTAAAGTAGAAGAAAGAGAGTACGGTTGGACAGACCGTCTTTGTCAATTAGTGGACTCCTCATCGTCACCACCAACAAAAATAAAGAAAACAACATCTCAACCCCAAATTACACGGTCTCTCTCCAGTCCATAAGAGACTCAAAATTACACGGTCTAGATACAAACGCTAGGCCACCAATTCATATCAAAGCCCTAGCATTTCACAAATCTCATAATAATTGGAAGAAGAAGAAGAAGATATGTACGGGAGAGATCCGTGGGGAGGGCCGCTGGAGATAAATGCGGCGGACTCGGCCACCGACGATGATCGGAGCAGGAACCTACAGGAGTTTGACAAGGCGGCGCTGTCGAGGCCGCTGGACGAGACGCAGCAGAGCTGGTTGTTAGGTCCGGGAGAGCAGAAGAAGAAGAAGTATGTGGATCTGGGTTGTATTATTGTCAGTCGGAAGCTGTTTGTGTGGACTGTCGGGACGATTCTCGCTGCTGGGTTTCTGGTAGGGTTTATTACTCTTATTGTCAAAACTGTGCCCCGCCACCACCACTCTCATTCGCCGCCGGACAATTACACCATCGCGCTCGGCAAAGCCCTCATGTTCTTCAATGCCCAGAAATCTGGAAAGCTTCCAAAGCATAATAATGTTTCATGGATTGGACCACGGTGACTCGAACCATCAGCGCAGAGTCGCTGCTGCCAATATCCACCTCCGCAAACAGTGGTCCGTCGATGGCTGGTGCAGGGAGAGAGAGATGTCAGCGGCGGAGATGAAGCTGCAGGTGGTGGTGGAGAAGTGGATGACGGCAGCGAGGTGGTGTTGGTCAAATCACGGCTGAAGGCAGTGGTCCTCAAGGGAGTGCAAAGCAAGATGGTACCTGGGTTGGTTTTGATGGATGAAAATCCGGCATGCAGAAATAGTTGGAAGATGAGAGGTCCGGCGGGCGGCCAAGGCGAGACTGCCGCCCGCCGGTGAAGCGAAGATACTAGGTTCTTAACCTTGCTCTGATACCATGTTAAAAATACTGTATTATTGATTGTTATTGATAGATTGTTATTTTGTATTACAAATCAGAGTGGCATTATATAGGAGAGGGTTTGGGTAGTAGGTGAGGAGTAGTGGAGTGTAGTAGGTGAGTGTGAGTAGTAAATTCTAACAGTATCAATGGAACTTCTTTCGACGAAGAATCCAGGTTGTTTAGGCTGAGGCAATATTGCTTCCTCGTTTCCCAACATGAACACTACAGATGACATTGCCGGCCTGTCTTGTGGGAGTTTCTGAACACATAATAGGCCCACTTGAATACATCTCTGTAATTGAGATTCAACACATGAATCCTTCAAACATGCATCCATTAGTTCCATCCCTGTCTTCATTCCACAGCAAACATGCCTAAAGTAATTGCAAACCATGCACTTAGTTTTTTTATTTTCTTCGCAGAGCATATATTTTGTCATCCTCAAGAAACAGCACCTATGCATCAAGTTAGAAAGCCACGGGGATAGACAGATATACACAGATATATATATATAGAGAGAGATAGCTATTCTAGTACTTACATGCCCTAGAAGATTGTGGTGGTGATTAGGATGATTAAAACCTCTGTTCCTTTTGCCACTCACTATTTCTAGCAAAAGCACACCCAAACTGAATACATTAGATTTCACAGAGAATTTCCCGTCAATTGCATACTCTGGAGACATATAGTCATTGCAAGAATTTGCAACCATGAAGTCTTCTGAATGATGGAAAATTTTGATTTAATTTTAAGTAAATAGAACTTACTATGTTCCAATGACTCTTTTTGTTTTTGCACAAATTTGTTCTCCTTCGAAAATTCTTACTAAGCCGAAATTTGAAATTTTTGGAATCAGATCATTGTCTAGCAGAATATTGTTTGCTTTGAGATCCTTGTGAATTATTCTTAATCTAGAATCTTGGTGGAGATACAGAAGTCCCCGTGCAATCCCCATGACAATCTCAAACCTCTTTTGCCAAGCCAGTAATGCACTTCTATCCTAATCTGCACATCATTTCGAACCTTTGTAAATTTTAAGATGCATAAGTTAGTGACCATGTAGGAAAGCGATATGCAGGTGACCAAGCAAATCCAAAATATGAAGGGTTTAGAGGCACAAACCATAAATAAAATAATTTAAACTTTTGTTGCACATGTACTCATAGATTAACATCCTTTCTTCTCCTTGAATGCAGCATCCAAGAAACCTAACAAGGTTCCTATGTTGAAGTTTGGAAATTGAGGTAACTTCATTCTCAAACTCTTCGAGACCTTGTCCCGAACCTTTTGACGGCCTTTTCACTGCTATTTCTTGTTTCGTGGACAATTTGCCCTGTAGGTGTCATGTATAAGGTGCACAACAATACAATCTATTCTTAACTACACAACTGGACGTATCATATCTTACCTTATAAACAGGACCCAGCCACCTTCTCCAATCGTATTTGCATCGGAGAAGTTGCTAGTAGCAGCAACAACAGTTGTGCAATCAAAGAAAGGTAATTCCAAGCCTTCTTTCTGCCCTTTTACAGTTGTTAACAGGGCTAGTCGGGTTAACCTTTTTTTTTGGGGAAATGCTTTATACATGATTTTTATGTAATAGTTTAATGTTTGGAATCTATGATTTAACTCAGAAACGATTATTAGAAGAATATTTAGTGGATAAGAACGCTTACCTCTTCTCTTTCCTTTTATCTTCATTATTATGCACCCACATACTGTGCCCAAGGTAAGGATTCCTAAAGTTGTTGATAGCAGTAAGATCTTCACAAGTCTTTTCTTATTATGTGAATAATGAATTGAATCTGAAACAAAGAATATCAAGAACTGAAGTACTAGGTAAATTCTGAAACAGAGAATACCAAATTGATTTGCATTCCAAGTAACTAAGGGCTGAAGTATTGAGGAGTTTAGAGGTTAAGAGAAACCTGGTAGATCACAGCCATGCACTAACCTATTGCTGAAGCTGGCAAGTGTATGTAGATATCTTGGTCACTATTATCTTGGAGGCTTGTCACGACCCAAACCTACCTCTATAGGTTTAGCATCGTAACCGGCTAATAATCCTTGAATTACCAAAGGCCTCTGAACAGAATAACAAAATATAAAGGGCTGCAGAAGCAAATATACAAAATACAATGTCCATAAAGCTATGTAGAGATACATGGTACAGAAAAATTAAAACTTATATATATATATAGGGGGTGTTTGGGAAGTAGCTTTTTTGGCTTTTTTTTGGCTAAAATAGCACTAAAAAACAAAATAGGCTAAAATAATCGATAAGACAAAATGTCACATCAAATCCATAAGCATTTCACTTTTTCTCTCACAAATATCACATCCAACTATAAAAAAATCCAACTATCTTCTCAAACACAAAAATTTTAGCCTCCTAAAATAGCCAAAAACTAAAATAGCCTACTAAAATAGCAATTTCCCAAACACCCACATAATGTCAAACTTCCATACACGTCATGTATCACCATACAGATGTATCATAAGGCACTTAGCCCAATGTACAGTTAGACAAAAACAAAACGAATACATTTTGCACATAATTCACAAAACTTGACTTCTTAGGCGGGAACCTCCCCGGGAGGCACAGTAGCTGGCTGACCCAAAACTCTCCAGGCAGCAGCTTAGGCCTAGTCACGCCCCTGCTCTCCTACGTACATAATATAAATAGTGAGCGGAAACCCAGTGAATAATAACAGAGTAAAGGGTTAAATGAATGATGTCTCATATCATATTCAGAAAGCAGAAACAGATTCATAATCATATTCTTATTGAAATCTTATACAGAAATCAGAATTCATGCTTAATCATACATGGTACATTCATTAGTGTTAACAGATCAAATACAGAGCATAAAGGATTATGCTTGCCAGTTCCAATAAAGAACCTCCGGTACCGAGAACTTGTAACATACCTGAGCCACGGTATTGTTACCCCCGGGTGAAGGGCCATGAAATCATGGTATTATTACTCCCGGGCAAGGGCCATGAGACCACGGTATTATTACCCCGGGAAAGGGCCCTGTGCTCATAGACCACGGTATTCTTACCCCCGGGCTACGGCCTTGTGCTAAGGATGCCACGAGTACTTGTCAGAATTTAGACAAACATTCATTGTACAGAATATATCATTTCATAAAACAGATTTTATTTCATCATACAAAAAATAAATAAAGTTAAACATAGCTTTACTAAGTTATTATTCACAGGTGGCTCCAGAAGCAAACAGACAGAGCAGACAAATCAAAGAGCTTACGGTGCGTGACCTACACAAATAGAACAAATACATACTTGAAACACACACTCGGATAAAACTTAACTCATTTCATTTCGTTCTTTGTGTGTTTCTAAGTCTTATCCTCCTTCTTATGTCTTAATCATGGCTTAGGAATGCCTAGGATGCAATGAGGATGCCAAAATATGCAAGTCAACACTTAGCGGTGGTTTGGGATGATCTAAATAAGTGCACTTTTTGACTTTTTAAGAAATATGGGTTGAGTATGGGCTGGGTTTGAAGTGATGTGATAGAGAGGTGATGTGACTTAAATAAGATGATGTGACTTAAATAGGATAGTGACTTCTTGACTTTTTGACTTTTTTAAGGTTATGATAAATAAGGCCGTAGGAAAATATGCTAAAAACAGAGGCCTCGCTCGAGCGCAATTTCCTTCGCTCGAGCGGATGTCTAAACGTGTGTGTGGCCGTTCGAGCGCAACTTCCTTTGCTCGAGCGGTTTGTAAATCTTGCAAAAGTACTGGTTGCTTGATTTTTCCGCTCGGCGCACGCTCGAGCTTGAGACTGAGGCCTTCACTCGAGCGCAACTCTTGTCACTCGAGCAGTCTGCAAAACATGTAAACTTCTGGGAGCATGCATTTTACGCTCGAGCTAACTTTTGGTAGCTCAAGCGGAGGTGCAAAATATAGAGTGGTCACTCGAGCGCAGGATTTGTCGCTTGAGGGGAGAGGCAGAATCTGGAATTTCCAGATTGTTGTGCAAGATGCAAACCGTGAGTTTAACGCTTGAAACATGCTCTTTTGGGCCATATCTATTGGAATATGTCCCACATTGCCTGGAATTGCCCCATCTGAGTTGGTTATAAGGCTCTAGTTTCCCCCTCCATAATACTTGGGTTTTAAGGAGAAGTGTGGGCTGCGCTTTTCAATATATTACATTGATTCAACAACAAGTAAATAACCAAATAAGCACTCCCAAGGGTTTACAATCTTTCCAAGGCTTAAGCCCGGTACACAAAATGGTTATTCAAACCCACACATACATAGCCCTTGGCTTACAAATAAGATCACAACAAATGAGAACTTTAATGCTCTCAACACACACATTTCCACGCCCTCAATTAGGCAGATTCACCACGTCTTTTCCTGTACAAAAATCCGGTAGGATAAGCATAAAGCCCAGTAGGAAATCCTTAACAAAGTATATACATTTTATACAAGTCTCAAGAGATGAATGCACATGCCATGCCATGCCATGCCTTTTTGAAAATAAAACACATCTTCATCTTTTAAAAACCATCATGCTCAATGATGTTATGCAACTTCAACTGTTCAAAATTTATCAATTTAATTCAAGGGGCGGTAAATACAACTCTGGTAATCCCTAGGTCAGTGTCTGCAAGTAGACTATACAAGTACTACCAATTGTCATTTTTACCGGTATTAACCGGAAGGCTCGACACCTATCTATGTGACTTTCTGGTCTTTCACCAAGGACACTCAGGCCAATTTAAACAGTTTCATCTACACCACCTATCAAGACTTACCACCGTATTTACCCCAAAACCATTTCATGAAAACCCATTTCCCAACATTCTTTTCCAATGCAAATTTCCAAAGCTTAACATAGTCCAATAAATTGAAATGCCAATGTATGCTTAATAATGCAATGCAACATTTCTTCCATATTCAATTGTTCCACACAATATACCATTGTGATCAAAATTCCCAATCCTCTTTTTAACACAATTCCACAAAATGAATATATATATATACTTTTATATCCAATTCATTCAAGAGAATAACGTAATTCCCATATTTTGAGCAATCTCAACAATTTAGTCAATTCAAGACTAAATCAACATTTTGACAACAATTTCCAAAATAAACAACATTTCTCATTTTTTGTACAAAATTCGTCATTTATATATAAATAAACAATTTTCAAAACATCCATTTATTTTTGTATACAAAATAAATATGACAACATCTTCCAAGGATTTTCAACATCTTTCAAAGAAAAGACCCAATTTCTAGGTTTTCTTACCAAAACCATTCATCTCCAAAATATTTAGAAGAATCTCGCCAAAATCATATTTCTTCAATCAATATGGTTTAAAACCTTCTATTTCTATTTTAAAAGGAAAAGAAATTACACCCTCTTTCAAAATCACTCATCTTCTTGAAATCAACAATCAATTTCTCAAAGCTAATCAAAGGTTGATTTCGAAAATCATCTAGATCTTGCAAAAACATATATATAACTCTAAGAAAATCCCTACCTCAAGTTTTGAAGAAGAAATGAGATGGAACCCCCAAAATCAACGGTGTCGAAACTCGATCTTCATCGCACACAACGAAGCCCTCGAGATGATAACCAACTTTGGTGAAGAACTTAGGTCTAAATCCCAATGGATTTGGAGAAATCAAAGAGAGAAGATGACTTCTAGAGAGAGAAGCTCCCGATCTGGAATTCTGGAGAGTTTTAGAGAGAGCGGACTGAAAAAGTGATCTGAAATATCAGATTCACGAACTGATATAACATGGTCCGCTCGAGCGTGGAATGCCCCGCTCGAGCGTCAAATACACTAACCCAGTACTTTTACAGACAGGTCATTTCTGAAACCAAACATTCTCCGCTCGAGTACATAAACGGCCGCTCGAGCGGACAAGCAACTTCGAATGCATTTTGCATTTTTGTTTTGGGGGCGTTGCCTTTCAACCCCGCCAGGGCGCTGCCCTAGGACCTGCCAAGGGGCGCTGCCCCCTGGACCCCCGCGAGCTGACCGGGCAGCTCGACCCCCGACCGGCCCAATCGAAGTAGCAAAACATAAAAGAAGGATCGAAACCAGGATCGCTACAAACTTAATTACACAACTAAGGGTTTGATTTCTTACCTTAGTTGCTCAATTATGGCCTAGATGTGTAGAAGTTTGAGCTCACAAATTAATTCTTTAATTTCCCTTCCATGTCTTTCTAATTCTCTAGCTTAGACTCAATTCTTCTCTCTCTGTCTGTCTGTCTCTCTCTCTCTCTCTCTCTCTCCCACGTTTGAACTCAAAAAGATGAGAATTGAGGTTGTAAGTGATGGCTCTTAAGTCAACAATTGCCTTAGATAGGCTTAATTAGGGAAGTTAATTAATTTGGCTTACTGTTAGACAAATGAGCATTAATTATTCTAATTATTTCGTTCCGAATTGAATTTCAATTGAACCTACCATAAAATTCTAAAAATTCTAACTAACACAGAAA